CGCCATGTTGACTTGGTGTCTGCGCTGTGCACGTGACGAGGCACAGCACGCCAATCATCTGCGAGCACCTGCGAATCTGGTGTGATGCTGTACTGCGGGAGCAACGCTGGCACGCCGTCGACCTGCTGCGTTGGCACGCCGTCGACTTTGCACTGCTGGAGCGCGGTCGACCAAGTCGTGTTGGAACGCGGTCGACCATGCTGCGCTGGCAGTCGACCGACCTGAGTGCTAGCTCTGATGTAGTCTTGCCATGCCAACTTCTTTGTACCATTGTTGCCAACTTCTCTAGTGAAACTCTTGCCAACTTGCCCCGTGAACTAGCAAGCAGTGTATGCACTAGGAAATCGACTAAGGACCAACGAACGCAGAGATCACACGAGCACCCGTGCCTAGCCCGTAGTCTAGCTCCCGTTGTAGTAGTTATCTCCGCATATAGTGGACCGTTTCCCGCAATATTTGGTGCGTTGAAATCGTGCTTCCAAGCTCTATCAAGCTGCTATAGTATTGGAATTCTACAGGGACAACTATACATTGGCGACAGAAAACGAAGCTAAGTAACCACCACTTCGCAAATTAGCAAAGTACTGTACCCACGAAACACCGATCCTGCGCAGGATCGATGTTTCAATTGTGACGCGTCCTTAGGGATGATATTCGATTTTTCTATGGCGTCTGTTACCGGGGTCCGTGCTGCCTGTAGAATTTCTGCGAACTGTTGTGCTCATGGTACCGGGTTGTCGGGATTTGGGGTCATGGGCACTGATGGGTTCTGTCCGTAGTTGAGGTAGAATGGTGATTACTGCGTCGTGGCTGGCGTGGAGTTGTTGTATGCGAATTCGATGAGTGGCAGCTGCTGTTCCCACGTTGCCGGGTCGTCGCACGTGGCTTCATGGTTTGATTTGTCCGTTCTGTTTGTCCGTTGGTTCCGCGATGAGCTGAACTGTAGTCGCGTGCCGAACTGATGCTACAGGTTCCTCCAGAAGTTGCTGGTGAATTTTGTGTCACGATCGCTAATGATTGCCGCTGGTATCCTGTGCAGCCGAACGACGGTGGAGATGAATGTGAAGATAGTAGGTAGAGTTAGGAGCCATAGCTAGGTAAGTCCTAGCTAGGCAAGAAACAGTTTAGGCAAAAGAGGGGGGGATTCACTAGCAGCAATGAGGATACATATAGCAAACCCTAGATGGGTTGGACTCGCTATAGAGCACCCCACTACAGGCTAGAGAATAACATTCTGACACACCCCCATAGCCAAAGTGGGGTGTAATCAGTACAATGAGCAAGCAGGTATAGAGCAGGAGTTCACAAAGGTAAGCAAAGCTAGAGCTAATCACAGCGGGCAAGTGAGGAGGAGGAGGAGCTGTGGAGGTAGAGAAGATGGGAGGCAACGACTGAAGCTGCAGAGGCACGGGCACAGGAGCGGCTGACTCAGAGGCTACCGAAGCAAGGGCGACGGACTACTGGAGTAACTGGCTCGGCGGCAATAGAAGAGCGGCAGGAGCAACGGACCCACTGGCGACTGGTGCAGCAGGCTCACTGGCTACCGAAGCAAGGGCGACGGACTACAGGCGCTGCAGGCGACACGACAGGTACCTCCACACAACCTCCTCCAACTGCCCCACACCCTCGACACACACCCACTGCTCAAACCCTAGCTCCACTCCCACGCACCCCCCTAAAACCCTAAACCCCAGTCTCCCACTCATCCACCCCCCTCAGCGACAGCTGCAGCAGTGGGAGACAAAGGAGGAGGAGGAGAAGGGCACGGCGCGCACAACGGACACCCCCACAACCACCACCCCCACACTCCTCACCCCCAAACCCTAAAACGGGTGGGATAGGGGCAGGAGCGCGGGGGACGGAGAGGGGGGGGAAGGCGCGCGCCTCTAGGGCGCCAGAATGGACGGGTGGGGCGAGGGAAGGGGCGTGGCGCGCGCTGCTCCCCTGGGCGCCGCGACGGACGGGCGGGGGGGACGCGCGCGCGGCTCCCCAGGGCGCCGCGACGGCCTGGCGGGGCGCGCGCGGCCTCCCGAGGGCGCCGCGACGAGCTGACGGGGCGCGCGCGGCCTCCCCAGGGCGTCGCGACGACCACGCAGGGCGCCCGCTGGCTCCCCAGTGCGTCGCGACCGACGGGCGGGGCGCTCGCGGGCTCCCGAGGGCGTCGCGACGGACGGACGGGGGGCTCGCGGGCTCCCCAGCGCGCCGCGACGGGCAGGGTGGGGGGCCGCGCGTGCTCCCCAGGGCTCCGCGACGGACGGGCGGGGCGCGCGCTGGCTCCCCCACAGCAGTAAACCGCCGCGCGCCTCGGGGCGCACGGCGGGCAGAAAACCGCCGCGCGCCCCGAGCGCGCGGCGGGATGAAAAATAAGAGGCCGCGCACCACGGGGCGCGCGACACAGCGTAGGGCAGCGGAAGCAGTAGGAGGGCCCACAGGCCAGGAGCGTATGTGCTCTGATTCCATGTGAAGATAGTAGGTAGAGTTAGGAGCCATAGCTAGGTAAGTCCTAGCTAGGCAAGAAACAGTTTAGGCAAAAGAGGGGGGGATTCACTAGCAGCAATGAGGATACATATAGCAAACCCTAGATGGGTTGTACTCGCTATAGAGCACCCCACTACAGGCTAGAGAATAACATTCTGACAATGAAGAGTCGGGATGTTTCTTTGACTGTGATTGAAATATTGCAGGCTGCGAAATGTGCCATCTTCGTCAGCCAATCGACGACGACCAGGATCACGTCGTTTCCACTTGCTCCGGCCGGTAACCCCGTGACGAAGTCCATCGGCTGCAACTGTCCCGCCAGTCGATGTCGTGAGGACTTTATGAACTGGCAGGTGGGACACAATGCCACGTGTTGTTGCACGTCGGTCAGCATCTCCGGCTAGTAATAATATCGCTGCAGCTGCTGCCATATTTTCTCTACCCCGAAATGTCCTGAGGTGACTCCGTCATGTGCCTCCTGAAGTAGTAATTTCCGTAGTAAGGTGTAGCCCAGTACCCAGATCCGATCGATGCCGGCTTTAACATAATTCACCCCGTGTGCTGCTGCGAACTGCAGCGAGTTTCCTCAAGTGAAGAACGGGTCAGTCTGGTAGCCGTGGGTGATTAGTCCTGTGAGTAGTGGGCCGGTCTAGGCGAGTAGTATGGCGTGGATTTGAGAAGTGGGGCGGGTCAGTGCGTCGGCGATACTCGATGCCCCCTTTTTGTAGGTGGTCGCGTAGTGGAAATTCGAGTCGAGGAAGTCGAGCCAACGAATCTCTTGTGGGTTGAGGTGGGGTTGTGTACGGAGGTACTGTAGTGATCTCTGATCTGTCCGTATTGTCACGTCTGCGCCGGTCAAGTAACAACACCACACCTTGAATGCGTGCACGATCACGAGCATTTCGCGGTCGTGTATCGGGTAATTTCTCTCGGGCGGGTGCATTTTTCGTGACTCGTATGCGATGGGCTGTAGGCCGTTGCCGAAATCCTGTAGCAGTACGGCTCCAATTGCGATGTCACTGGCGTCTGTAACTACTTCAAAGGGGCGGTGTGGGTCGGCGATGCGCAGTACAGGCGGGGAACAGAGAACAATTTTCAGGGCGGAGAAGGCAGCATGCTTTCTCTCCCTCCAAGTAAACGCCACTCTTTTCCACAGCAAATCCGTCAGTGGGGCTGTTAAACGCGCCATATTGGGTACGAACCGACTGACGTAATTCACGAACCCTAAGAAACTCTGCAGCTCGATGATGTTGGTCGGGGAACGCCACGCTTTTACCGTGTCTAACTTCTTTGGGTCAATTTTGACTCCAGCATCTGAAATAATGTGCCCCTGAAATTCTAGCCGGTCCTGAAAAAACTCTCACTTCGAACCCTTGGTCAGTAGGCAATTCTGGTCTAAGATTTTAAACAGTGCTTCCAAATTCGCCAAGTGCTGCTGCTTGTCACGACTGTAGACCAGGATGTCGTCGAGGTAAACCATCACGTATCTATCTAAAAGTGGCCTAAACGCTTCGTTCATGGTCATCTGAAAAGTCGCCGGTGCGTTGGTCAGCCCGAATGGCATTACTTTGTACTCGAATGACCCGTACCTAGTTCTGAATGCCGTTTCGGCGCAGTCCGATGGTTCGTCCCTAATCTGATGGTAACCTCCCCGTAAGAGAATTTTCGAAAAGACCCGTGCTGTTCGCACTTGATCTATCAGTTCGTCGGCGCGGGGGCTGGTGTGGGCTGCTAGAGGCTGGTGTGGGCAGGCATGGGTAGGTAAGATGGGTAGGCGGCCACCTGTGATCACCACCGAACGCCCTCTCGCTCGCCACCTGTCAGGTTTCCATGCGGTACAGCCAAGACAGAAGAGGCCGCCTGGTCATGTGTGTTCTTTTGAGACGTCTCAAAAGTCGTTTTGAGATGTCTCACAAGGTTTCCATGCGGTACAGCCAGGACAGAAGAGGCCGCCTGGTCATGTGTGTTCATTTGAGACGTCTTGAGACATCTCAAAAGGTTTCCATGCTGTACAGCCAGGACAGAAAAGGCCACCTGGTCAGGTGTGTTCTTGTTTCGCTTGCTGACACCATTCCCCAGGGGCAATTTAACGTTCGCATCGTCGCTCGCCCCTGGGGTGTCATCTCCTCAACCTTCTCATCCCATCTAGTCCAACCGTCTGCCTGTCTTTGACATGCTCATGCAACTGGATGGGCACACAAACCAAGTGCTCTCTGACTTCTGCTTTCATCCTTCTCTTTGTCCTTGCTGCTGCCTCTCGCTCTCCCATTTGCTCGGCTCCTGTCTCATTCTCTCCACTTACCCTCTCTTTCCGCCTTTCCTTCCACCAAGGGAGTTGGACAGGCACACACACGACAGCTGCTGCCGTGCACCTCCTTTCTATCTTCCCGTTGTGCTCCCCCGCTCACTCGCTTGGCATCTGCCTCTCCTTTTCCATCCTTTCTATCCTTCCTTTACACCATGCTCTCGCACAGAGGGAGCTGGACGGGCGCACGTACTATGACTTTGAGTTTGTGGCGCAGGCATCCAGCTACACTCGCCACGCTCTCGGTACAATCGCCATTGCCAACGGTACGTGCTGCGGCAAGCTTGCTGCATGTACAGTAGCAGCAGACTGCAGGGGCAGAGAAGATGGTAGAAAAGAGGATTCATGTTGGTTTTGCTGTAGACCTGTGGGATGATGGACACTCAAGAGGTCCAGATTTCAAAGGCTGTATGGTCTGTGATCCTCGCCAGTCTTGTCCTGCACTCTTTCTGTATGTGCCACCGTACCTTACGGTTTCTTTGGCTGACTCTATGTGTGTGTGTGTGTGTGTGTGTGGTCGTGGTGCAGGCAAGTTCTACACGCTGACAACGGGGGCGAATGAGCGCCGCTGGAGCAGGGTGGATGAGAAGCTGCGCACAGTGGTGGCATCTTTTGTCACTCTATAGACTTGAGCAGGATTTCGTTTCTCTTGTGTGTGTGTGTGCGTGCGCGCGTGTTGGGGGGACCACATGCGAATAAGACAACAAAACGTGTGACTGGTTGTTGATGTGTGTTTGGAGGCCTGGTTGTATGGTAGATAATCTATTTTGGTAAGGGGAATTGAGGTGGCTTGATCACCTCTAAATGAATCAGTTTTCCAGAGAGTTTCAATGAAATGTACAAGGACCAGTGACAAGTTCCGCTACTCAACAGCCTAATCGAAACTTCAGCACTGGAGAATCATGCTTATGGAAGGTCTGTCAGAGGCGATTACCACCACCATGCTCTTGGGTGAAACCATGGCTGCTAAAGAACAACTCCTCACAGTCTCTGCTAGAATGTGTAGCCCTGCTTGGTTTTTAGATATTATTTTCTGCCCGAAAAGTAGAGATTAGTACTGGTAAAAACCTTACATTGTGTATAACCAGTGTTATTTGCGCTCATTTATTGCACAATCGATTGTATACATGTTTGATGATCGTGTGTTCCTGACACGGATTTGAAGACGCCTCTTAGAAGCCCCTAGGGCCTGATATGTGATTAAATATGTGATGAATTAAGTCCCTAGCCCTTTGTAGATCAGTTCAGAACGCCGCTGGCACGCAAATGCATTTCGCTCCTACAGTCCCAGAGCAAGACCTACCATTGTAGTCATGAAACCGTGTGATTGCTGTTGAGGTAGCTCCACCGTAGTAGCGGTAAGCACCTGAGCATAGCATTGATGGCTGCACAGACTTCACCCTCCCCTTCTTGCATAAACCCATCGTGAACGACCAATACTCTGCCCTGAGGCAAATCTGGGATCATAAGATGCATGAGAAAGAGGTTTATGAATCAATAAGGCTGTCGGAGAAACCTATGTAGAGAAACAAGAGACGCACAATTGAGGCAAGGTCGATAAGGCATGCAACCTTTCAAAAGCCCTGCAAAGAGCACCTACCGTTGTCTACCTGTTCCTATCTCCCCCCAATCTTGGGAACGCTCCCCCATTCCTCACAATCCTCACCTGTACACCGATGTTGCTGCCGACAGCAGAGGCCGCAGAGGGGAGTTTTGAGGCGCCTCAAAACTAGACTCCCCCAGCCCTCACAATTCTCACCTGTACACCTTTACGATCAATATATAACCTTAACCTCACCTGCACACCAATGTTGCTGCCGACAGCAGAGGCTGCGGAAGGGATAGTGGCGGAGCAAGTAAGGCCGGGATTGTTGCGATACAGCTCCGCCCATGCATTCTCACTGGCACTGGCACCCTCTTGTGAAGTGCCGGTCCTTTGAAGCAGCCGCTCGCACGTGTCTTGAGGTGTGAGCGTGCCGTATCTGACACACTCGGGGACAGTGAAGGCGAAGGTAGCACTGCGCTCGAGGCACACGGAGCGGCCAGCTTTGATGGGCTTGGAGCAGTCAAGGCCGGGGTTGAGTGTGGTGAGATCAGGTTCTGTGAAGTTGAGCGGTCTGCTGATGGATGCACAGGTGTCCCCCTGGAGGGTTGGAGAGAGGCAGGGATAGGGATGCACAGATGATTGGATCTTGCTCACTTGCATTGACAATCATGCGATATGATGAGTTGAGAAGGTGAGTTGGTTGAGTGTAGAATGTGGTGCGGTGTGGGCAGGAAAACGGCATCTCTTACAGTGAGGGAGTAGAAGAAGGCAGTGCAGGGTGTGGCAGGAGTACCATCCAGCTGAAGAACACTGCCTTTGGGCAATGGCTGGTTGCAATCAATGCCCTGCATTGGGGAACACGTGCATGGAAGAGACCACATGGGCAAGGCCACGTGGGCAAGGCCACGTGGGCAAGGCCACATGGGCAAGGCCACGTCGGCAAGGCCACGTGGGCAATGCCTCCATTCCTTTCTGGGTCCTGGTGAGAATAAGGTCGTTAATCCTTAAGACTACCCAATAGAACATTCTAGGAATCTTTCTGTCATTGAAAAGGTTTGAGAGTAGAGAGAATCTTTTGCATGATGGATAGAAGCGTATATGTGATGTGAGCGTGCAAGTGATGCGAGCGATGCGAGTGTGAAAGGAGGATATCCACATCAGTTAGTAGCCATACAATTGGGAGACCCGACCTGCAGTGCCGTAGAGAACTCACTGGGACAATGAAGCGAGATTTAATGGGTGAAGTTTTGTGAAAACAAAGTGATATGGAAACTGCAACCCAAGTGACGGATGATTACGTGCATACACAAGCACATCTTCACTTACAGTGTTTTGGTCTGTGAAGTCAATCAGTGAGAGGCCCACAAGGGGATGAACATCCGAGCACCACCAGTTGTCTCCGCTGACTGTCATTGTGGTGGCCGTGGTGTTTGATGCAGGCAAGAACGGGGAGTGAGACAGATGCAAGGAAGAAGTTCTGCAGGAAGATCAAAAGATAGAAAGGAAGTTGCCGGCCCCTCAAGCAAGCTGAGGTTACCAGGCTTACTCACGAGCAAAGGAGACCTGCAGACATATTCAAGCCACCTAATTGGATCGCAGGTGGGGAAGCCGTCAACGGTTGTGCTGGGAACGTGGTTGGGAGGGCAGATGCAGGAGTAGGCGCCCTTGCCATCGTTGATGCATTCTCCCACGTAGCAGGGGTTCTTGAAGTATGACCCACACACGTCCACTGCCACACGTGTACCGAGGTGGGTGGGTGGAGGTTAGTACAGAGATTGTAGACGGTGGATTTTGGAAGACCCACACACGTCCACTGCCACAGTTGTAGTAGGTTGGTGGGTAGTACGGAGGTTGGGGAAGGTGGACACAGGAAGAATAGAGTCAATCTTTGAGTAAACTAAGTAGTCTTCAAGTATGACCCACACACGTCCACTGCCACAGTTGTAGTAGGTTGGTGGGTAGAACAGAGATTGGGGGAAGGTGGACAGAGGAAAAATAGAGTCAATTTTCGAGTCATTTAAATAAACTTGAAGTACCATGACCCACACACGTCCATTGCCACAGGAGTACCGGGGTGGCAGATAGTACAAAGTGTTGAGAAAGACATGGTATTCAAGATGAGAAGGAGGGGAAAAAATGGGGATAGAAGAAGGGGTATATGGCTGTGCACTCCCATCCAGCCTTGAGACGTCACAAAACTCTTTCCAGACAGATGGCGACAGGACCTCTGGCCGCTACAGCTAGATGGCCTCTAGCACACATCAGATTATTGAGGCGCCTCAAAAAGGACCTCTGGCCGCTACAGCTAGATGGCCTCTAGCACACATCAGATTATTGAGGCGCCTCAAAAAGGACCTCTGGCCGCTACAGCTAGATGGCCTCTAGCACACATCAGATTATTGAGGCGCCTCAAAAAGGACCTCTGGCCGCTACAGCTAGATGGCCTCTAGCACACATCAGATTATTGAGGCGCCTCAAAAAGGACCTCTGGCCGCTACAGCTAGATGGCCTCTAGCACACATCAGATTATTGAGGCGCCTCAAAAAGGACCTCTGGCCGCTACAGCTAGATGGCCTCTAGCACACATCAGATTATTGAGGCGCCTCAAAAAGGACCTCTGGCCGCTACAGCTAGATGGCCTCTAGCACACATCAGATTATTGAGGCGCCTCAAAAAGGACCTCTGGCCGCTACAGCTAGATGGCCTCTAGCACACATCAGATTATTGAGGCGCCTCAAAAAGGACCTCTGGCCGCTACAGCTAGATGGCCTCTAGCACACATCAGATTATTGAGGCGCCTCAAAAAGGACCTCTGGCCGCTACAGCTAGATGGCCTCTAGCACACATCAGACGCGGGCGGGAGTACGTACTACTGTATGTATTACACATGATCATTGAGAGGAGACTTGTTTCTCGCCTCTGTGGCACGCGCTGCCTATATCTGAGAACTTCTGCACGCTACAACAGCCAGACAAAGGTGATTGTCCGACCAGTCTGCTTGCCCTTGTACTCACTCACCTGTCCACTTGCCATAGAACGCGCCATCACTTTTGAAAATTCTCAGAAGTGATTATACCAGCCGGACAAACAAACTTCATTGGGGGACCAGTCTACTTGCCCTTCTACTCACCTGTCCTCCTGCCGCAGAACTCACCATAAGCACATGTGTTGGAGCCGTATCCATTCTCAGCCTCCACAAAGGGCTGCACAGGAGCGGTCGGAATATTGCAGGAGCAGTTGTTGGTGGTCTCTGTCGTCCCCTGGCACTGGAAGCGACCACACGGGTTCATGCTCGGCTGCGAATCCCCATCACCCTTGTAGCTGCTCTGGCCGCAGGGGTCGCCTGGAACTGGGAGGTGTTGAAGGGCGATGGGGATACACTTCAGAAACATGAGGATGTAGTTTAGAGGACGACAACAAACAAACAAACAAGCGTGGAGGAAAGAGAATATTCGGTTCATGCAACTTTACTAAGCACCACAGTAGCTACGCACCACCACTAAGGGGATATGTGCTTACCAAGCTAGGCACTACAACTGAACTCTAGTGACAGAATCTTTAGAAATGTTCAGATTGCTTGCAGAGTGAAGCAGGGCCAGTACAGAACTCCTAAAGTGTTTTGTAATATGCCAATGTGTGCTGTGCCGCTCGTCGTGTACTCCAGGAGTTTGGTGGTACCCTGTATTTGCTGTTCTATCGCATACGTACGGTATTCTTATAAAGTAAGACAAATTTGGTGGTTACCTATGCCTTAATCTTGACATTAGGGTAGATGCCTTACTCTTAACAATGGGGTAGATGCCAGGCAGCACGTTAATGCCACACACGCCATCCCGTCCCTGAATGTCCATGCGCATGTGCCCTCTCTTGCCCCACTCCTCTCCCCACGAGTTGCAGATGATCCAAAACGGAGGAGCAATGCGGTTCTGGCTGCCATCGTTTCTTGTGATGAAGTAGCCAATAACGAGTACAACGTGGTTGAGGTTGCCCGTGTAGCAACCAGGATCCTGGTACTTGAATGTCTGAAACGAATCGGGACCGGACCATAACCACAACATTTATACATGGGGAATTTCAAAGAAGTACAGTCAGTTGGGTATGAAGCTGTGGAAGGTAATACAGCACTGCAAAGTGAAGGCAGTTGGTATATACAATCCAATCCCTTAGTGGAATAGCAGCAGAGTACCTTCCATCCAGAAGATGACCATAAACACAAGGACCGCACTGCACAGCATGCATGCTCCAAAGCTAGCAAGAGTTGCAGCGACGCACCCCATCATAGAGCATGAAGGTTGGAGATGCCTCGATGTGAACCACCACTGGCTGCCGCTGCACTGCCAGCATGAGCCCCACATACCCCTTGAACTGCGCTCGCTCAAACGCCTGCACCGGGTACTTTGTTGCCTGCAGAGCAGAGAACACAGAACAGAAGTGCATGTAGATTGTTGGGAGATGAATCAAGTGATCAAAGCACGGCCAGCATGAGCCCCACCCCACCCACATGTCCTTTGACCTGTGCACGCTCAAACGCCTGCACCGGGTACTTTGTTGCCTGCAGAGCAGAGAACACAGACGTGCATGGAGATTGATGGGAGATGATTCCAGTGATCAAATCACTGCCAGCATGAGCCCCACATACCCCTTGGAATGCGCTCGCTCAAACGCTTGACCCGGTACGTTGTTGCCAGGGACCACGACAGGGCAGCATTGTTGCATTGCATGGGAAAAGGTGGGTTGTTGCGGGTGAGTTTGGGGGGGCTTGGTGGAGTTGTGAAACTAGAGAGCAGTGCAACCGGTGCTCCTGATGCAGTGCAGGACACACGAAACAACTTCTACTATGGCAAATGATGGGTCAACGAATCAGCAGCCAATCTTTGAGCTCCAGACACCAACAAGAAGACCGATTTTTGATTTTTTTTTTTTTTTCATTCTCGTAAAATCACCCGAGTGATTGGACGGAGTGATTTACCCTCCACAGCTCACACCAGTATACCTTTCACGAGTACATCGCACCTCACAAGCCACCTACATACCACGTCACGTCCTCATACTGTTCCGCCTACCGGGTCACTATCCCCTGTGAGCCCACTGGTGGCATTGAGAGCTGTGAGCGTCTCAAAGGCCTGGGTGGGGGAGCCGCCAGCGGAGCACTTGTCGGAGTCGGAGAGCCCCATGAGGGCGAAGAGACCCTCCACTGCCAGCCAGGGTGCGCTCTGCTGCTTTGCAATGCCGTATGCAGCCTCCACACTCGCTACCACCGCATACGCCCAGCACGCATCTGAGCAGGACTAGGACAAGAAAGGTGAAGTGAAGCATTCAGTCAGGGTAGAGTGATGAAGGAAAGCAGGCTGCATATCTGAGCTACAGGATTCAGGATAGTTTTTTTTTTATTAGGTGCAGATTTCTCATTCCAAACCTCTCTAATCTGATCAATCCAAAATCTTGACAGTTTGAGTGGACTCTCCTGAATGATTCTCCTGCCATGTGGGCTCTCGATTTTGTGTTCTTTAATTAACTCTTGATGTAATGTACTTGAAGCTGTGTTCCTTTATCGAGAAAATACAAGTCAATGGCATTTGCAGTCTCATACGATGCTGTGTGGACGCGGTACAGATTACAACTTTGTTTAACAACAAAGGCATCACTACATAACAATGAAACAGCAGCTACACATGGAAGCGATTCACATTCTTCAATTTCTTCATTGTGAAATTCTTTCCACTCACTGCAGTCGTTTTGGTTCTTGACAGGCCAGTTGAGGAAGGGCACGGAGTCCCACGTGTGGAAATCACGAATGCTCCACGAGTCCGCTCTGGTGGCCGACAGCTTGAAGTCCGCACTCACATAGCGCGAAAAGGGACTGGCGTGAGACGGTGCAAAAGTGGCCTCTGAGAGAGAGAGGCCGAGGGCTGTGAGGGGCGGGAAGGGTTGAACTTGAAATGCGTGGTATGGTCTGAACTTATGCAACACGGTCACTTGCAACACAGACCCAATCCCCTCGCAAGCCCCACTCGACTGTGAAGGCACCAGCTGGTACCTCTGGGAAGTTTGACGATTTTTGAGGCGCCTAAAAAATCCTCTGTGAAGTTTGATGTAAGAAATCGATTAAATGTTCTGGTGCTTTAAGGGCTCCTCAAGAAATATCACGAAAATGATTGGTATGGAACTGGGGGGAAATCCCCAATGAGCTCGGCTGAATGAAACCTTCAATAGCGAGGTAGGAGTTTTCAGTTGATCACAGGTAAGTAGTATGAGGTAAAACCTCAACCTCGGTAACATTCCATCCAAGTTGCGACCTCACTTCTGCGAGCCTTACCTTGTAGATGAGCAGGGCACGCCAGTCACTTTCCGCTGGCGCCTACTAGCTACTTGGGAGATTTACAATGCCTTCCACGTCTAAAGCGCTATCGGGATACTAATAAGGTGTACACGGGATGCCATGATTGCGTGATGTAAAACGTATGGACGATCTTCGGAGCACGAGCAAAGCAGGGTGGGGTAGAGGATGGGATGAGAAAAATAACATCAGAGTATATCAGGTGTAGCGAGCTCACCTTGCTCTTTGATTTGGACAGCCTTGGGTAAAGGAGCGCCTGTGAAGTGAAACAAAAGAAGAAGAAAGAGAAACACAAAAGCCATAGAGTGCTGGTTGGGTATAGGACAGGGAGAGCACCACTTGAATGGGTAGCAATGGCAAGAACGTGCTACTTAGCTCTGCTAGTCATGATCTCAATCAAGCCTATCCATGGCACGAGCCATCAATATCGCGGAACATCACAGAACAACACAGAAAGACACCCTATCCAATGTAAACTGCAACACGCATGATCCAGTTCTTGAACCCAAATCGGTTCGGTACGAACAGAGTCAAACCAACCGGGTGGTTGAACCAAACCCGATCGGCTTCGGGTGGAATTGGCTTATTTGATTGAATGGGTTCAAGTTCGGTTGCATCCTTGCATGCTCGAATCATGTCCGCTTTTGAGAAAGTCAGCATCACCCCACCTGCCCGAGATAACCTTGCCTGTTTGCACAGTGGAGAACAGAATGCCGTGCAGCTGGAAGGGCTTCACAGTGGTGGACGCCGTAAACCCAAACGAGAAAGCCGGCTGCTTCACTCCCGGCTGCAGCACCTCACACAGCGACACCCTCCTCTGCAGCAGCGGATCCTCTGGCTTCACGTTTGAGCTCCCCAGGAACACTCGAATGGTGCCGGGATCCCCAGGCTCATAGTCCACCCATGCCGTGTACGCATTGCCATCCGTGAACATGAATGGTGATACCTTTGCCACCAACGATTCCTCTCTGCCTTTAAAGCTCAGCCCCACGTGCTGGTGGCTCTCTTCGATGTCGAATGTAACGGCTATGCTCCGAGCTCCCACCCCGCTATACCCCACACCACCAGGTTTCCCTGCCTTGGCCGTTGCGGCAATCACAAACGCAAAGCCGCTGGGCCCGGTGGCGCTACCAGAGTGGTGCAAGAGAGCGAAGGTGAAGTTGGCACTGAATGCCAACTCTAAGCCACATCCCAACGTCACACCAGGCGGGTACATGAAGAGGGTGACTGGCTTTTCTCCAAACTTCCCCACCGTCTCCTGCTGCGCCCCCTTGGTGAGCACAGTGAAAGGCGGGAGAATGCTCCTTGGGAGGACTGGAGAGTTGCGAGGGAGGGGCAGCGGTGCATGGGGAAGGGTGGGAGTGGAGGAGCAATAGAATGTGTGTGTTAAGCTGTGCAAACCAGATTATGAGGGTGAAGTCCGTAGACTTGCGATGTGTGCATGCCAATGTTGATGCCTATGGTGATGCCTACGGTGATGCCTATGGTGATGCCTACGGTGATGCCTATGGTGATCTATGATGATGCCTATGGTGATGAATGTGTGTGTTGCACCGTGATGCAGCAAGCTCAACAAGTATGATTAACCTGCGGTAAGTGCAGCACAGCACGGGTTGACTAAATGCGTGGGAGCTAGAAAGTAGAGGAAATGGCACTTAAGTGCATAATGCAGGGAGCACAATGACTGTGACTTCGTCGCATCCAGTACTTTCACATTCTGAATGCACACTACAATCGCTTCTCACCTCCTGAAACACAGCTGATTGCTCCAAATTGCACCGATCCCGCACCACACAGGCACGTTGGCACCAAACTGGGCCCGTCTGGGTAGCACACGCCACGGCCACCACAGGCAGCAGTGGTTGGCGAGATTCCACAGAAAGCCAGACACTGCGCTGGTGGCCGCTGCAGGTCCCCACAGGCCTTTCTTTTTGTGAAGCAATTGGCAACTATGGTGTGTCGGCGGCAGTCAGGACGGCGCACAGCACCCGACAGGTAGTTGTTGGAGAGGTCTGCTTGGATGCCCGAAAGATTCACAAGAGGGCCTGTGAGGTAGTTGTGAGAGAGATCACTGCAGGGGGGGGAGGGGAGAGAGAAAGGGATGTGTGCACGGTGGAGTTCGGTTGAAATAAAAAGCAGGGGTTATCACACAAGGGGCTGGATGGAAAAGAAATATAGCAGGGGGATAAAGGAGAAGAGAGGTCAATGGAGAAAATGGGTTTGGGCTATCATCAAGAGGAGGAAAATGGCAGAGAGGAGAGGAGGGGAAGCTGGAGTACAGCATCTAGAGATGATTTTTCATTCATTATCCTTATTTTGTACTTGCTTGTACTTTCTATATCCTAATGTAGTGTAGTTGTAGTTTTTGTTGGTTGGGTGTTTCCCCAGTATCGCAACCCAACCCAGGTGTAAGTAACAATCGAAATCTCCAAACCACCAATTGAAGATTTCAGCCAATCTGACCAGGGATTGCCGCTTGATTTGGCTCGATCGACACCATTTTGACTACGCCGCCCTTCAGGCTTGAACTTGAGGACTTGGGCGTCAACCCATGAGCTGTTCAGGCTGCTTCGACCTGAACCAAAGTGGCCAGGTTTGTTTGACTACGCCCGCTGGTTCGACCCGGTTCAGTTACAGTTACTTCAAAACCGAGGGGTTTAGTTGGGACCTTCAACATTAATGGCCCTTACCAATAAGTGAAGGTTGAAGGATTATATTCTATAGCAGGGTTCCAATAATCTCGACTAAAAGTGGGCCAAGATTTTTTTACGGTCCACTAATTCCCCACCCCAACCCTTGGGGGTCTATCTGAGCCAAAGATGGATCTCAACCACAAGTAGGGTTGACTGATACTAGATAGGCACCCAAAATAAGGTTGGGAGCGATTTTCTATCCAAGCTATGTGCTGCACTGCAAGATGCAAGATGCAAAGTGGGGCATCAATTAGAGGGGAAATGTTTGAAGGGAGGAGCGGAACGCAGAACACAGCCAAGCGAAGGGGCTTACAGGAATGTCAGGTCCCTAAGGTTGCCGACTGCAGTGGGAATTGTGGCAGTGAGCTGATTGCCAGAAAGTGATCTGCACGGAAGAACGTGAATGGCCATGCGGTAGACACAAAAATCTCAACTTTGACTTTTGAGACGTCTCAAAATAAGAATGGCCGTGTGGTAGGTACAAGGACCTCAACTTTGCTGGGGAAACGACCAGCAGATAGGACCGAGAGAGCACCTCTAAATGTGTGCAGAATGGCAGGGGATGGATGCGGTTAGGAAAGTGAAGGGAGATGTGTTGTTTGCTTGCACCAGGGCATGTCTTCCGTGTACAGATGGGCATGAAAGAGAGCATGAGGGAGAGGAGGCGAGATGGAGAGGCAGAAACAAGATAGGAGCAAAAGGAAAATCAAGGAATGCGGAGGACGGGACGGATCATGTGAAGAATGCTTTGAAAATAGGAAAAGAGGGGCACGAGAAGAACGCCAGGTTGGACTGGAAATGACAAAAAGTTAGAGTGTGAATGGGGAAGAGAGGTATGAAAAAGCATAGAGGGAGAAGGGTAAAAGTATTAGGCCTAAGTTTGCTTAAATACATATTTTTTTTCCCCACTTCAGGCAACCGAACTTCATGTTTTGACTAGAGGGCTTGAACATTGAGCCATGCGCCGTCCAGGCTAGTTCAACAAGAACCAAAGTGGTTGATTCGACCTGAACCCATTAGGGTTCGGTACTCGCTAGTGCCTACTTACAGGCTTTGTAGGTTTGTAAGGTTGCCAATTGCAGCAGGGATTGAGCCAGAGAGCTGATTGGCAGAAAGGTGACTGCAAACACGAACATGAATGGGCATGTGGTAGGTAGATACAGGCAGCTTAAGGTTGCGTGCAAACGAGAAGCGGATAGGAGAAACTCCATCCATCAGCAACCCAGGCACGAAAGGCAGTGACGTGTGAGATACCAGGAGGACTTGGAAGTGGAGAGGGGAAAAAGGCAGCTGCAAGCCATGGAGGAGCAGCAGGAAGAAAGGATCAGAGAAGGCTGGGCATGCATGGCCATGGAATGCGAAGGAGGAAAGAAGAGAGAGGAAGAGGCTGAGGAGGAGACGAAGGCAGGAGCAGTGAAAGAAAGGGAGAGGACACCAGAAGAGGAATGGCCCATAGGCTCAGGAATGGGGGCAGCAGCAGCCAGGGAACTACAGGAGGTGTTAAGGCAACACCGACAGTGCTTCGCCTACACGCTGCAGGAGCTAGGAGAATGCAAGTCACACGTCATGGAAATCAAGCTCACCACGGAGATACCGATCTACCAGAGGAAGAGACGGATGAGCCCAGGAGACATCGACATATGCATGGAAAAGTGCGCGGAGCTGCTAGAGGCAGGGTTGATCCAGCGCTCAGAAAGTGACTACGCAGCAGCGACAGTAGTGGCCTCGAGGAAGGACCTCATAGGGGAGGTGTCGGCGAGGAGAATGTGCGGGGATTACAGGGGCCTGAACAAGGTCACCGTGGCAGACCGATACCCCATGCAATCCGCCGAAGAAATCTTTGACAAGCTACAGGGGGCAGCTGTGTTCTCGACGCTAGATCTCAGACAAGGCTTCAACCAGATACCCATCAGAGCAGAGGACCGAAAGAAGACAGCATTCCATGGGCCAGACGGACTGTACGAGTGGAGGTGCATGCCGTTTGGCATGAGGAATGCCTCGGCGCTGTTCCAGCGAGTGATGGACGCAGTCTTGAGGAACGTGCCAGCCGCTGCCTGCTACATAGACGATGTCATCGTCTTCAGTCCCAGCCCCGAGCAACACGTGAAGGACGTGCAGGCCACCCTGGAGGCCATCCAGGGAGCTGGATTAACCTGCCACCCGAAGAAGTGTGAGTTCGGCAGCAGGGCAGTGAAGTACCTGGGATTTGAGGTGCAGGGAGGGAAGATGAGCATCCAGCAGGCCAAGGTTGAGGTGCTGGATCGAGTACCCGCCCCCAAGGACCGGACAACACTAAGGGCGGTGTTGGGCTTCTTGAACTACTACCGCAAGTTCGTGCCCAACTTCAGCCGGACGGCAGCAGTACTGAATCGATTACTGCGGGAAGAGCAAGCATGGCAGTGGGGAGAGGCCGAGCAAGGGGCGCTGGAGGCTCTACTCACCGCTGTGAAGACGGCTTCGGTACTAACCCTGCCCAGTAAGGAGGATCCCTTTGTGCTCTACACCGACTGGAGCAGTGCAGGCATGGGAGCCATACTGTGTCAGGAGAAAGAGGGGCAGGAGATGGTAGTGGCCTTCGCCAGCAGGAGCTGCAACCCGGCAGAGGCCAACTACTGCTCCTACGAGGGAGAAGGGTTGGCAGCCGTGTGGGGGGTCACCCACTTCCGTGTGTACCTGCAGGGCCGGCCCTTCACCCTAGTGACAGACCATCAACCCTTGACTTGGCTCATGACCAACCAAGCTCTCACCGGTCGGAACGCCAGGTGGGCGATGCGGTTGCAAGAGTACGAGTTCACCATCCGGCACCGACCGGGGAAGACGCTGCAGCATGTAGACGGCCTCTCCAGGAACCCTCCGCCGGACAGCCCCACAGCCTGCCTGGTCGCACTAGCCCGAGAGATTGACGGAGAAGGGGCCAGGAAGAAGCAGGAGCGAGGGCCCGATGATGTGTGGGAGGATGAAGAGGTGCTGAATTGGATACAAGGCAAAACGACAGAGGCCGGGCCAGCCAGCGAGCGAGCCCGGGCAAGAGGGGTGCACTACAGATGGTACCAGGACCAGCTGCAGAAAAACACTAAGGACGGGTGGAAGCTGGTGCCAAGGAGAGAAGAAAGAGAGCAGATAATAGCCAAGGTGCATCGGACGCTGGGGCACTATGGAAGTCTGAGGACCAGCCAGCTGGTAGAGACCGGGTGGTGGTGGGCGGGAATGCGGAGAGAGATAAAAGAGTGGGTAGATTCATGCGAGCTGTGTAGCAGGAACAAGGCAGAGCTGGAGAGAGGAAGAGAGGAGTTGCAGTCACTTCCCATACGAGGACTAGGGTTTCGATGGTCGCTAGATTTGGCAGGAGAGATGCCGCTGAGCCGCAGAGGGAAGCGGTACATACTCATCATGATAGAACACGGGAGCAAGTGGGTGGAGGTCAAGGCGTTACCCAGTAAGAACTCGGCGAAGATAGCAGAGGCGTTTGAGGAGCAAGTCCTCACCAGATTCGGCGCATGCGGAGAAGTCCTGACCGACCAAGGGACCGAATTCCTAGGAGAGTTCGAGAAGCTACTACAGGCGACAGGAATCACGCACCGAAGGACATCCCGCTACCACCCCCAGAGCGATGGGCTGACAGAGAGGTTTGTCCAGACTATGAAGAGGGGACTGCGGGCCTACGGAGAGAAATTCAAGCGAGACTGGGATGCACGACTGCCCTGGGTAGCTGCAGGATACCGGTTCAGTAAACAGGCAGCTCTGAAGGACGTGTCCCCATACTACCTACTGCTGGGGAGAGAGCCCATACTGCCAGTAGACGCACCGAAGCTGCTGACAGGAACCGTGACAGTGGCATCAGCGGAGAATTGGGTGGGGCTGGCAGAGGCACGGGCCAGGTACCTAAGAGAACTGCTACCTGCAGCGCTAGAGAACTTGCACGTGGCTCAGCTCAGAGACGCGCAGCGATACAAGAAGAGGAGGGAGGGACAGGGAGCCGCTAAGGAAAAGCAGCTGGGAGTAGGGGAGGAGGTATATCTGAAGCAAGCGAGGCACGACATGATGGACATAGGCCTCAGCAACGAGCGCTGGAAGGTCAAGGAAGTGAAAGAGTCAGGAGTGGTAGTGCTGGTGAGCGAGGGAGGCAGGGAGAAGAAAGACCATCAGACCAACGTGGCACGAGCCCGACCAAGGCGGGGAGCTAAGGAAGACGGTGCAGGAACGGCAGAAGAAAGAATCCAGCAGCCAGGAGTAGAAGGAGTCCATCGGCTTGCAGCAGGAGCTAGGCAGCCGAGGAGGGGGCAAGTGCAGGATGCAGGTGGCAAGGCAAGGCAGGTACCCAGAGAGCTGAGGGCACTAATGCAGTGACGAGGAAGGTTGCAGAAGAGAGACAACACCCCAGCATCAGGAGCACAGGAGGCAGGGCCAACAGGAGGCAAGGCCGGGCAACCTGAAGCAAGACAGAGAGAGATTCCGACAGCTGTCATGCTTTTATACTTAGTATAGATATAATAAGATAGGTGCATGACATTGTGAAGGAGCGTAATAGACTGTAGAGAAGTAAGGGGGAAAAGGGGAATGCTTGAGCGGGAACACAAAGCGAGCCGTGCGAAAGCACCGTTGCTCGGCAACAGTAACCACCGCTCACAATTACTTAAGCAGTAGCGCAAGTAGGGGATCTTTGCTTGCGAGTTTGTTTTCACACTAAGGTGCTAGAGGTGTGCGCCTTCCCAAACGGATGTGCGTGCGGGCCCAAAATCGCAAGGACGTGCGTGGGCGATCGCGGTGCTAGAGGTGTGCGCCTTCCCAAACAGATGTGCGACGCCTG